GCATACAGCTTGCCGTTTGAGTGCGGGAAAGTCTCTATCTTAATTTAATATTTTAAAGATTTAAAATCATTATTTTTTTATATCTAAATTTTATTCACATAATAAATCTTGATGTAAATCCATTAGTTATTAGTTCTCTATCCTACAAAAAAAATTCTAAGAGTTGATACTTAAACTATTTTTTTTCATCTCTTATACCATCTTATTGTTAAAGTTTGATTGTTGTTGTTGTTGTTGTTGTTGTTATTATTATTGTTATTATTTTTGTTGTTGTTATTGTTGTTTTTGTTTTGTTTTTTTTAGAGATGTTATCAATAAAAAAATAGACACCAATTTTTATAAATGTAAAAGATTATTAGATGACTACAACATATACTTATTAATATCATATTTATTTTAATATTTAAGATATCCTAATTTATTTTGGTGTTGCCTTAAATCTAAGACTTTTTCTACTTTGATCTCTTGTTTGTTATTTACTTTCATAAGAGGTGATAGTAATTTCTTCTTTCTAATATATTAATTTTAATAATAAAAAATTATAATAATAAAAAATTATAAAAATCCTCAATGTCTTTGATAATTTAAAACAAAATATGAAATTGAATTTATTCATATTTAAATAAAAAATAGACTAAACCTTTGATAATCTAACTAATTATAAGGTCATCCAATCTTAATGTTATGACAAAGAAACCATATCCTATTATCTTCTTTGAATAAATTATTTTTTCTAAAACATATTCAAATCGATTTATTTATTTATTTAGTAAGTTAGTTTTAATTGTTTCTTTATTTGTAAATGAATACTTGCTATGCTACTCGATAAAGCCTTTGATGTTTAATTTTGAAATATTGAATAGTTAAAACCAGTAAATTTTAGATTATAATCTAAATTAAGAAATTATATATATTTTTAGATAAAAATATATATTATACTATTATACAAAAATAAATAAAAAATTATCCAATTAACTTGATAATTATTAATAATATATTATAAATAATTATAAATATTTAATTTACTATTTTTACACTTAAATAAATTAGAAGATACAAATTAAAGATAACTAAATATAGAATTTTAGTATGTTGAAAAGTATTTTCTAAAACTTTGATACATGTTAGAATCTTTATTTAAAAAAGATATGAAGAAGAAGTTTATGACATCTATTAGTATTGATAAAGAAAATTTACTTGATTTTTTAGTAGTAACAATTTATTGATAACATAATAAGTAAATA